GGTCAGAGTACTGAAGGGCCATGTCGGACATTAAAACATAAGTATATTAACTCACAGTACTGTTCTAAGTACAATAAGAGATTATTCACTAAGTCCCACTCCCTTTTGGAAGCAAACTACTGTGCCCTTACTCCTCTCCATTTATTCTATGCGTAGTACTTTGCACGTTCATATCAACCGTTTACAATTCGGTCATTCGAAGGGATGTCCAGCAATATGGTGTATACGATGTACTTACGGTCTAACAGGGTCAATCCCATAGAGCTCTTATATGGTCGAAGACAGTGTACGCCATGGGTAAATCAAGGTGTCAGTATTAATGTGTGTGTTATGTAGAAATAGCCATACCTGTAACAGTATTTCCACCTACTAGCTGGCATTAATACTTTAGTAATAATCTGAATCACTATTCCTTCTCTGCTCGAAACATATCCTACAATGTCGCAGTTTTCTGCCCAACAAGACCCTTAAGCACTTTAAATCTTTCTAAATAGCAACGTGTGCACGTTTATTCGTTGCTGATAAATAACCGTCCTAAATTAAATTTTGAAATTTTCCTCCAAACTGCAAGATTAACAGACCGGGGAACTTGTCGCCCCAGCATCTGTCAGCCGAGAAGATTAACACCATTCCTCAACAAAAAAGCACCGTCAAACCCTTCAGATCCACGAGCGGAAGCAACTGGTGTTCGAGGAGCAGTACTCAAAACCAGGCCCAATGAATGTGCTTGAAGTCTCCGCTGACCCAAACGCCATCTTGATTATCTCAGGCGATGATTGAGATCGCGCATTGTTTTATGACCTCCCATAACTGTTCCGTCTGATCCAGAAGTCGAATGGATCTCCAAGAGAAAACATATACGCAGTGTGTGCCGATCTCACATTGTCGGAAGGAAGACCATCGAAGAAATTACCTCTACTGCCGAATGCTTGACCTGCTCCGTCAGTTTCTAACAAAACGTTTAAAACGCTGTACACACATATACCTCAAGATGTGTTTGGTTGGAATTCATTTGCACCCCAACACTCACAAGATAGACAAAACTTAAATGCCAAACTTTAAACATTTAGACTGATAATCTATAAAATGTGGGGAAGTAGGCGGACAACAATGTCAGCTTCCTGTATAAGACAAAAGTGGTATAACAGCTTTAAATCTATCCAAATATAAACTTCAGTCAAATTCAAAGAACCTGGACCAGGGAAAAAGCTCTAACAAACTTTTTAAGACATATCACGAAGATACTAAAGAAAAGATACTGGAGTTCCTCAAAGTAACGATATGTCCTTATTCTGAAGTGATATTTAGATGTAGAAGGGGTTCTGTTAATAGTGGTGAACGAAATAGGGAACAAAGTTCAGACAGAAAGAGAAGAGGGTTTATCAACCTTCTAAATAGCCTGCCAGGTTTTAAACGATAAGAGAGCTTCAGGTTCCAGATGTTGCCCTGTCTTGTTGCATTTAAAGGCATTTCCTAAAGGTGTGTTCTCTCTGGCAGATGGTGTGGAGAACGGCTGTGTTGTTATTGTGATGTTGACTCCTCTGGTGAGAGCGGGCTGAAGCAGGTCTACCACTACGGCCCAGACGAGGGTCCCAACCTGACCACATCTACGAGGTGAGACAATCCTTTCATACACGAACATGACTTAATGATGTTACGTAAAATGTTTCGAAGCCCCGGAGGCCCAAATATATTTTAATCCTGAACCTCTTTTACTAAAGTGATGGTAACACTTTATTTTGATAGTCCATAGTTACACTCTATAAGTCATCAGTTGACATTCAACAACACTGTTTCAACAGACAAGTAACATGCCATTCAACGTAACTGCGCCCAGTAATATACCATTGAAGCATAGTTGATGAGCACGGATAACAACTTTAGACTTTAGTTGCTACGTTGATCATCACTAATGCTTATTACTGCGTTTGAACGGTGCTGTTGAATGTCAACTGACCATTGCCAACTGAGCACTGTTGACATGCTACTAAATGTCAACGGATGACTTATAGAGTGTTAACTATGGGACATCAAAATAAAGGGTTACCAAGTGATGTCCAGACACGCAATTGATCAATCTAAGGTTCTTGATGGAAACGACGTGTTTTTATTACGACATATTAAACAGATAACACTTTGTAGATTAGGGTGTTTCCAATGAGGACCAACGATTACAAACCAATGGGATTGCCATTTGGTTTTGGAATATAAAAACGGCACATCTCGTAAACTTGTGTTAACCACCAAACTTTTCGAAATCTAACCTCTACACGTTCAAAAAAACATTGATATTAGCCAAAAATAAATAGCAGTAAGTTCCCAAAACATCACAAAATGGCTCTTCCTGCTCTGGGCCATGACTGCGTTATCAAAATATTTGGTTTGTTCTCCAAAAACAACATTCTTAAAAGTTAGAACGAGGGAACCCCAGAAACGCACGGCTGACTCATTTCCGGTCTCGGACCATTCCTGCACCACTGATGAGTTTTCAATTAGGCTTGACTACTTTACATTCACGCGTATTGTCCATCCGTGTGTCCTCGCAGGTGAACCTGGTGTCCGAACACATCTGGTGCGACGACTTCCTGGTTCGTAGCTTCTACCTGAAGAACATGCAGACCAACGAGACCCGGACCGTGACTCAGTTCCACTTCCTCACCTGGCTCAACCAGAACGTTCCAGAGACCAGCCGCACGCTGCTGGACTTCCGCAGGTAGGGAACACCTGAAGACAGGGAGAAAATACACGTTAGGGCAAAAGTACATTTACTCAAGTAGAAGTACAGATACTCGTGTTTAAAAATACTCTGGTGAAAGTAGAAGTACTGACTAAACTTCTTTACTCAAGTCAAAGTAAAGAGGCTTTGAAATGTACTTAAGTGAAAAGTACCCATAACTAGCAGCTGTTTTAAAGAGTACCTGACCTCCCTTTATATTAATAGAACAATAATGTCATTGTTAGCTAATGAATGTTTCCATGCTGAACAACGGCAACATGACAACGTTTTCATTGGTCCCTCTTCTTTAGAGAAGACCAGGAAATGATGGATACACGGATCGTGTTCAAATCAATAGGCACGCAATGACTCTAAATAATAATGATCACGCCACCAAACACACATTCAGACTAAAGGAACCAGCCTGTTTGGAAAATGAGAGAAGTAGAAAGTACAGGTATTTGGGTTCAACATGTAAGAAGTAGAAAGTACAGGTATTTGGGTTCAACATGTAAGAAGTAGAAAGTACAGGTATTTGGGTTCAACATGTAAGAAGTAGAAAGTACAGGTATTTGAGTTCAACATGTAAGAAGTAGAAAGTACAGGTATTTGTGTTCAACATGTAAGAAGTAGAAAGTACAGGTATTTGTGTTCAACATGTAAGAAGTAAAAGTAAAAAGTCCTCAGAAAAATAAGTAGTGGAGTAAAGTACTGATACCAGAAACATGTACTTAAGTACATTAACGAAGTATTTGTACTCCACTACTTCCCACCTCTGACTCCTCTAAGAAGGGCCTAAAAACCTTTCTTTCTTTTAAACTTTAAAAAAAAAGTATATCATGCCCCTTGTAGCACTTTGGGATTACTTTTCGCAATGAAAGGGTGCTTTACAAATAACATTTATTATTATTATTATTATCAACACTCGCTGCGTATTTGTGCAATTCACAGAAAAAACACATAGCACTGACGTGACAATTACAGTAATTTTGTGTTTTCTGTCTCCCTCAGGTTTACCTTTTCCTCTCTGCATCCTGATTGGATGTTGCTGCTCTCCTTCACGCATACCCATGTGACCATCACTGTGACACTTGCCCTGCTTTTCATTCCCAAGGTACGTCAAAAATGGTATATATTCTAATGTCAGAAATTTGCAAAATGGAAGAAACCTCAGGAATGTCCAACGTGCAAATCAGATCCATCATATCCCACATTTGCCTCAAAAGGGATTCTCAATCTGTACGGCATACCTACAGATACCCCTAGTCAGTACTACCCCTGCTTTGGATAAGCAAAAGTTAATACATTTTAAAAGGGGTTGGAGGTGGCGGCAAAAATGGAAGAAACCATGGAAAGAAAAGCTTGTACTCAGGTTCTTTCCACCATCCTGTTTGAATTGTATGCATTTCGAATATATTTGCAATACTTTATGAGAATCAATCCACTACTGATGAAATGTCACTGGTACTTAAGTGTATTTGAATGTGCATGACTACACACAATGTTTTTCATATGTGAAATGTTTACATGCGAGTTGTATGTCTGTGTGCGTTGCAGTTTCTCTATGTGTCTAAGCCGGGGAGAGAGGAGATTGCAGCGGAGGTTTATGAAGATGAAGTCGACCTGCGGCGCTCCGGCTCGTACCTCAACAGCAGTTTTCACTCTGCTTGGAGTGAACACAGTGGAGTGGACCCGGATGACTTCAGGGTAAACTCTTTTTTCCCTCAGAACGATGTTATCACTTTGCATATGGACATAATCTCCAAAATGGGGAAGAAATTCAAAGGTCACGTTTAAATAAGGAATAAATATCCCTTAATTTCAGTTAGGACCACATATAGATCCACTTAAACATATTTTAAATGTATTATAACTCAAATCAGAAATGCAATAAGCAGCAGAATGAACACATGTAGTATGACCTTTCTCCACCCTTTATCCTTATCCTAAACCGTGTTGTTCTTACATGAAAACGTGTTTGGTACCTCTCCTCTGACTTGTTACTCTCCACATCTTTTCCTCTCCTCAACCATTTCCTCAATCCCTTCATCATTTCCCTCCCTTCTTCATATGCACCAGGATGAACTGAAGAAGTTATATGTCCAGTTAGAAGTCCACAAGACCAAGAAGATGACGGCAAAAAACCCTCATCTGTCAAAGAAGCGAAGTTCTCGATGCGCATTAGGAAGATCTATCATTAGACGCATTGCTGAGATCCCAGAAAGCATGAGCCGACGGTGCAGCCGCGACGACAGAGAGGGCTCCCTCCGAAGTAAAAGTGAGCATCAGTCTGAGTCCTCCAAAAGAGCTCCAGATTCTGTCACTATCGGCCTCAAAAGTTCAATGAAGTACCCATCACCGTACCCATCACCATACCCATCACCATACCCATCACCAGCAATGCGCAAGTCCCAGAGCGATCATCACTATGTCAGGGAAAGAGACCCTTCCTTGCGTGACTCCATGTTAATGGCCAACGCTTTGAAAAGGACTTCCCGTCAATCAGAGACAGATTCCTTGGATATTCCACTAGGGCTCTGCAAGTCAGCCAGTGCCCAAAATCTGTCCATTGATATCAATCTCTTGCATCCTGATCACACCAGGCTTCAGAAATCCAGGAGTCTAACTTCCGCTTCTAGGAGTTCAATGGAGAACATCCCCAAGGTTACCAGAGCCAGCACAGTGCTGAAACATTCGGGACAGAGCCTTTCCATCAGTGAACAGACCAGAAGTGCCCTCCAGTCAGGGTCTTTTGACAAGTCTGGTGTATGTCCTTGGGATGAGGAGCAAGAACAGTCAGGGGACAAGAACCAGAAACATGTGACCTACGCAAACTCAATGAAGAGTGAAGACAATGGGGCGATATCTCCAAAAGTGCTCGTCTGTCCCTGGGAGAAATTACCACCTGTAGAGAAGAAGCCTTCAGAAGATAGCGAAACATTTGAAACGGACTACCGAAAACCGCAGGCGTCTGTTTCTGCAAGTGCACCTTGCACTCCGAGACCAAAATTCACAAAATATCAACGCGTCTTCTCCTTCCGGACCGCCACCTCTACGTGGCTCTCTGTGAAAACAGCAATGGTAAACTTTGAGGCAGGAAGCAAGTCCAGTGTGGATGGAAAAACAAATAAGGAGGACTCTATTTCACTAAAAAGTCATGAAAGTGTTTCTAGTAGACGACCAAGCATGGAAAAGAGGTCACTGCTGAAAAGTATGACAACAGTCAACAAACCATGCCTTGTCAAGCAGAACGCCATCAGACGTTCCTCTGGGGATTCTTTCGACAGAAGCCAAAGAAGGCTCTCAACTGGAAAATGTGCCGTCTACCCTTGGGAAATTGATGAAACGCAAAAAGATGGCAATCATGAAAGTGTGATTATATCAAGGCAGAACAGCAAACGTAGTACCAGTTCTTGGGAGACTGCCAGTAGCTGTAGAACTCCTTCAACTCACAGAAGGGGTAGTAATCGAATTACACCCGTACACAATATTTCCTTTGTAAATGTGTGTCCATGGGAGGGAGCTGGTACTTCCCAAGGAGAGGAGGGTCTAAAGAGGCAGCAGACTATTCAAGTAGATGTATGTCCATGGGAAACTCAAGAGGAAGACTATGTGAGAGAACAAGGAAGTGGCAAAAGTGAGGCCTGTCCTTGGGAGACGCAGGATATCCCAGTTATTTGTTATACTAACACGTCCAAAGATTTACAAACACAACAGTCTTTGAAATCTGCAGCAGATGTGTGTCCCTGGGAAACTGCAAAAATCCCCCAACCTTCAATGGGTCAAGAAAGTGAATATGTTAATGTTTGCCCTTGGGATGTTAAGGACAAGGCTGAAGTTGAATATGAGAACCTAAATCCTTTGGGGACCAGAGGAACGCTGTCTGTGCCCCTTAAACATGACGTTTTTAAACCTGACGTCCATCCCAGTGCATCAACAAAAGGTTATGAAGGGCAACAACTCGCAAAATCAGAAGCCCTGCATTTGGGTGAACAAGTCACCAAGGCAGCAGAAAGTTGTCCATCGGATTTCCCTGATCCCCCTGAAAACCTTGGAGACCTCTGTCCATGGGAAGAGGGTAACACTGATCCAACAAATACAGGCTCATCTACCATCAAGGTAGATATGTGTCCCTTGGAAACAGGAAATCAAGAAGGCTCACAACAAAGAGTCTCAACTTTAATAGCTGCTTCTCTGCAGAGTGAGGAGAAAGATGCCACAAAAGTAAATATATGTCCTGGGGAAACTGACCCCCCACAAACAACTGAAGCTACCAAGATTGTGTCACATGGACTGGAAAGGTCTTCAGATGTTTTTCCATGGGAAACAAAGGAATCAGTGGCAGTCAAAACTCAAGAATCAAAAGCCTCAGAGGAACCAAATACCAGGGAAAACGTATGTCCGTGGGACACAGAAGCCCCAGAGGTTCTCAAAAAGCAAGATAACGTGCCAGCGAATGTTTGTCCATGGGACACAGAAGAGCCAAAGGTTCTACAGAAGCAAGATACAGTTAAGGTAGATGTTTGTCCATGGGACACAGGAGAGCCAAAGGTTCTCAAAAAGCAAGATAGCGTAAAGGCAGATGTTTGTCCATGGGACACAGGAGAGCCAAAGGTTCTCAAAAAGCAAGATACAGTTAAGGTAGATGTTTGTCCATGGGACACAGGAGAGCCAAAGGTTCTCAAAAAGCAAGATAGCGTAAAGGCAGATGTTTGTCCGTGGGACACAGAAGAGCCAAAGGTTCTACAGAAGCAAGATAGCNACACACACACACACACACACACACACACACACACACACACACACACACACACACACACACACACACACACACACACATCGATTTGTTAACGCACACAATCAGGCTTGATCGTAAAATGCAGGAGACACTCAGTCTCACAGTTCAGTTATTGAATGGGGGCCTTGACATCTATTAATGAGGGTAATTACTTTGTGAAGGGCATGTTGGAACCCTCAGGTTAATGCTAGCAAATATCACACTGCTACAGGAAAGAAGTTCACTCAGGCAATTTGACACACACTGCCCTAATGTTTTTTACACTCTGTACTCAAAGGAGTTTCTAGACTAAACAAGAAAAACCAAAAAAATCAGAAAATACAAATGTAGTTTTCAGGTGGGTTGGTATTTTCAAATGTGGTATAGTACAGTAGCTGGTTCACATGGCTGTCCAACTGCAAAAAGGTGTAAAGTAACAATCTTTGAGGTTAGAATCTACTGAAAGAACCTGGATGTATCACTGACTCCAGCCCTCCTGTGTGTGTGTGTGTGTGTGTGTGTGTGTGTGTGTGTGTGTGTGTGTGTGTGTGTGTGTGTGTGTGTGTGTGTGTGTGTGTGTGTGTGTGTGTGTCTGCAGGAGGAGATGGACACCAGCCCCATGGTGTCGTCTCTCCTCAGCAGCCTGGCCAACTACTCCAACCTGCCCCAAGGTAGCAAGGAGCACGAGGAGGCCGAGAACAACGAGGCGGAGTCATCGCGCAAGAAACCCGTCAAGGTATTTGACAGAATTCATGTATAAATACATATGAAAAAGGGCACACAACACTGTGTTTATTTATCAACTATATATGCTGTAAACAGACAATTCAAGGGTTGTGGTGAAAACACAGCTTTACTTGGTTTATTTGATTTCAATCGAAAAACGTTTAATTAATAGGGGTAATGATTGGGTACTATGGATTTGTATAGTCCAAATAATTAAATGTATCTGTGTTTTTTAACTTTCAAATAACTAAATAATACAACCTATAGTCAGAAACCTTAATAATCTAACTGAGTTGTTGCTTGTTTAAACTATGGTGCATTAAAAACAGCTTATTTGCATTTCATCTTTTCCTTTATCATGTAAATCATATTCTGAGCTGAGCTCACCGCAGGAGGATCCAATCTACTGTAAACCATGGTGATTTGGGTTTTCTATAGTAGAAACCCAACAAATCCTCAAGGTTGTCGAATCTGGAGAAAACAATCGGGTGAAAACTGCCTATTTGAACAATTATTATGTTTTATTTCTACTGAACTGAGAAGAGATTGGCCTTAAGTGTGCTGCAATTAAAACAAAAGCACTAATGGGTTATCTGGAGACACCATATATTATACGTAAAAGGGAGGTGTTCTCTAAGATTTATTCAAATGATTGTAACGGCTGAAGTGTTCATCATCTAACACGTTTAAATATGTTAAAATGTGAGTCAGACATTCATGCTGCAGCTTTCCAGATATGTTTACGTTGCTGCAAAACACATTTGATACAGTGCCTAATTATTTTTCTGACTACAAAACGAAATGTCAAGCTGTCTGCTCAAAAAGGTTTTTGTTTTAAAAAATTGTATAAAATTACTACAATTAACTTTCACACAGTGTGCATGCATCTCTTTGCTGTAGATGTACCTCTGCTCTAATATTGTGTAATGTGCACCCTGGACAACTTGTTCACCCGAAGAAGGTTTTTATGCTTGTTGCCAGGAGATGGTAATTAATTGTTACCAAATATAGATTTGTACTTTTCCATTACATCACAAATCCCTAATGGCAGAGTTTATGGTTGTTTTGTTAAAGCACTCACTGGAGAGAAAGTGAAACTTTTAGAACGTGTCAATCATTCTCTGTTGATATTATAAATCCCCTGTTCGTGTTACTGGATTGCATCTTAAATGCCACTCACTAATGACTTCCCACCACATCATCCCATGGTATTTCTGCTGTTGGGTGTTGACATGCCAGCAGGAAGGAGTTTACTTCTACGCTCTTGACAGACAGACAGCCAGCTACATTATAACTCCTGTGGGAAACGGTGGATTTAGCAGCAATGTTCCACTGACGCTGATAATGATGACGATAATGCTAATAATGAAAGAAGACTTGGAAAAAAGAGTCATATCCTAAGATATTGCGAATAAGACTCTGGTCCATGTGAGGTAAAACACAGTTTTGATATTGTGAGTGTCCGCAGCAGTGACAGGTTGACAGCTTGCCTGTGACTTTTGACCCAGTCTGTCTTTTTAGGTGTCCAATCAGCCTGACATTCTTCTGCTTATATATTTGTTTTCTCCTCACATGTGTCAGTCCCTTTTCTGTTGTTTCCATCCACTCAATGAGGTTTTTCATTCCTCTTTCTCACCTTGAAGCAAATCATGATGGTGACCTTGAATACCTCCAGCTATACTGTCTATTTTACCCAGTGTGAATCACTGTGATGAGTTGATTTACAGCAGATCCTAAGTGGAAACACATTTCCTACTGGAGATAACGATTCTAGGTACAATCAACCACACAGCATTATTGATGTCTGTGTGTGTTTATCTTTCTAACACAAATTATAATTACAAAAATGCCATGAACTAACAGTTAAATGTAGGGAAATTGTTTTAGAGAACAAAGTGTATCTAAAGGTCCACTTTCTTCCTTCATCTTGGCATTGTATTTCAATATCTTTCCACTCATTTCTAGTGGTATTAAGCCATGCAGATCGATTTAGGATTGTTGCACAGTACAATTCCAATTACATTTTAAAACATCTCCAGCATCTTCTCTTTCCAGAAACAATTTTCAGTTCAAGATAATCCATAGACAAACATTTTCCACTGGAGCTTATTTTTATAAAATTAAATTCAAACTAAATGTTAATGGTTTAACGTAATTTAGTGTGTCTAGATCGGGGATGGGCAACTTTGATGGTGGCCACATCATTGATGTACTGGCCACCAGGGGGACGCAGATTCACTTGGAACTCACACAAATTCCATGTATTGTATGTAATTATAAACAAATACACTAATATACTAAGTCTAACATCTTCATTGACATTTCACAATCTTTCAGGGAACATCCTCTAATAAGCTCACTAAACAAATATCAGTTCACAGAAATGTTATTTAATTTTTACAAGTGGCATGTTTGTATTGAACAGGTTTTAAACTATTGGAAAGCATGGAAAATGAGTTTGCATTGAGATTAACCATTAAGATGACATAAAAATGAAGTCATGAACACTAACCCAGACATTAGCTGTCTAACTTGAACCTAAGACACTTGTAGCCAGTCTCTGCATTCCCCTTATTCCACACTAAGGGGAATGTCAACACAGACAGACACCTGTCAACCCGCACTCTGCTGTTCCTCAGCGCCGGTATAGAGTGGCAAAGTCCCTCCGTTTTCGGTGGACCTCCATGGGACCTTATTTCGGAAAAATTATGTATTGAAGTCAATGGAGAGAGAAAGATTATCTTTCGATCACGTTTGAATTGTGCCACGAATTACACATATGATGTTTGTCAATTTAAAAGATAATTTTGCCAGTCAAAATAAAAAAATGTGTCGTAAAACTGTGAAGTAACACATTCTTTTGTGTGAAACGCTGAATGAACTACATCTCTGGTCTCCCACAACAACACACGTCACCAAGATGGCCGTCACTACTGTCTTGCTAAACAAGGGATTGACTACCCTCACAATCACCACGTCCAGAAGAATGTCATGCAAAGCTGCCTGCCTGCCTGCCTGCCTGCCTTCCTTTGATTCTCTCTGAACTGCCTGGTCTTTTTAATGTTTAATGTCAACCATTTGTGCAGATAGCATGAAGTAGAAAAAGATCTCCGATGTTAATGTAGTGTTAGCATTAGCATTTCTCCCCGGGCTTAAATGGAGTATTATAGAATGATCACACCGGTGTGACAGTACTCTTCAAAGGGTTCACGAAATATGACTACTACTCTTACTGTTTAACATTTTGGGTTACTTAATGTTACATCATGTTAAGGCTAATAAAAATGACAAGGCTAAGGCTGTAATGCTAACTAACGTGTTTGCTACTACAGCTAGGTAGCTAACTTGATCCAGCCACTCCTGGTCCTTTCATCAGACGGGAAGCGAAAGAACGAAAGAACGAGCAAGACCCATTGCTGGTATGATAACAACCTGATACTAAGCACACAGGCATCTTGTTAAAGTTATCTTAGCCATCTCTTATATTTAGCAGAGGAAAACAATTGTGACATCACTTACATCACTCTGGGATTTGTAGTCTTTCTAGTTGCATATCTTTCATAGTCTTATATTTCAACAGTTTTACGACAAACTGTGACTTTTTTTAAATGGAAATTATTTTTTAAGATTGACAAACATGTGTAATTTGTGGCACAATTCAAACGTTTTCTCTCTCCATTGACTTCAATACGTAATTTTTCCGAAATAAGGTCCCATGGACCGGAGATGGGCGTGACTTCGCCACTCTATTTGAAATCATGTACGCAGCTCGCGACGTAACTAGGAGTCTAGTGGGCGGTATCAGTATTACAAGTAAAAACAAAAATAATATATATTTATTTTTTTAATTAATTACGTTGTTTATCAATTAATCTGAGAGCCGCAAAGGCCCCCGGGCCGCCATTTGCCCATCCCTGGTCTAGATGGTGACAGCAACAACAACAGTATCCACGGGAGTTGAGCATCGATTCAGAGTGTTTGCTTCTGGTATATCCTCTTGGTATCCGTTTGTCCCAGATGTAGGGTGTATTTCTCTGTCTCCCTTCGGCTCGGCTAACCCTGGGAGCTGGTCTAATCTTCCTCCTGTCACCCCAACCCCTTCAATACTTTAATTAGTCTGCACGCTACACCAAGCTGCTGCTTCTCCAATCAGCAGCCCATTCCACAGGCAATCTCTCCATCGCCATGAGAGGCTTTTCATTAAGGCAGCCTGTGGCGTTTTATCGCTCACACAGCGACCCCTCTCTCTCTCCTTCCCTCTCTATTTCTCGCTCCGCTCCCCCTCTCTCGTCCTCGCTCTCCATCTCCTGCATCATCGGTCCTCGGGTGAGCGAGTGAGTGGGTTGTGAGCGAGGCAGCGGCCTTTCTTTGTCGCAGTGTGAAAGCCAAGATCAGAGATTTGGTTGGCATGTTGCATGAGGGAGCAGTCTGGAGGTCGCGCAGGTTAAAATAGCAACCAGTCGCAGCTAATCTCCCAGCGTTTTTCTTCTATTCCCTGACCTTATTCAGTTGGAATCTAACATTAAATGATCTGCAAAGGCTAAAATCCCAAAGTTCCCTTCAGAGGGAGTTTCTCTTCCACACACTTCCTGAATTGCTCCATTGGACTCCTTTTGTTCATTTCCTTAACATAGTGACATTGTATACTTGCATTTCTATTGGCTAGCGCACCACCACATTGTACATGATAGCCTAAGTGGCGGGACATCGCTAAGCAGTTGACCAATCACAACAGAGCTGTCCAGCTAACCAATCAGAGAAGACTGGGCTCTGGTTTTAGACAGAGGGTGAATTGAGGGGGAAATGAGGTGCTGCAGCACAGGCAGTATGAGCAAATAAAGCACTTTTTAAACTTTAAGTTATGTAAACATGTCACCTTAAAAGTACAAGGTACAAATATAAACCTGAAGATTTGCATAATAGGGCTCCTTGAAAACAAACAGTGCATTACAACAACATTTAGAGCACATTATGTTGGTGGATGAAATGGCACACTGAGAACTGACTTTG